TTTTCTCTTTGGCCGCGATACAGTAATACGAGCTTTTAATTGTTTTTATTTAGCTCCGGGACACCGCGAGTGTTGCGTCAGGAATTCGAATGGACGCCACAGCGGTATTATCCTGACGGAATTTTCAGTTTTTCGACTCGAACGAACACGGGATACTGACGAGCTGGGAATTTTAAAAATAACGGAGAAACACACTGACGCTTGAAAGCAGTGATTTTGAACAATACTCTGGTTTCCAATTGAAGTATATTTGAGTGGAAGCTTCACAATTGGAAGATGGATGTAGTAAGTTTGATTCATTAAGTTTCGGTAGAAGAAAAAGAAGTCTTTCGGAAAACTGATCTGACCTTTAAGAAATTTCTACGATAAAAAGGAATTAAGTACTCTATATAGAAACTATAGAAAGTGTTGCAGATATCAAAAAAATAGCGAAAGAAACGGTGCATATAGTATAGAATAATATACTAATTCATTAAACATTATGATACTACAATGTATATTTTACTTTTGGTATTTCGTATATTCTTGTATGTCATATACATTCTTATACCCTTAAGTTGCTCATAAATGTACAGATATTCGCAGTGTAGTAATAAGTAAGCAGAGCGTAATACACGTACATTGTGAAACATTTTACATACTACTAAAAGGGTTAAAGAAACATTACAATGAAAGATAATTACGTGCGGATAGTCGTCACGGGTATCTCTATTATACTTGTACTATAATGAGAAACTCGTGTAATTATTAGAATGATCAGTACCTACCTAAGTCACTAGCTGCTTAATTGTAAGCGGTTATGATTAATTAACGTACGAGATACGTTCTATAAACACACAATTAGAATATACGCGTAAGAATCAGTTTAACATTTTGTTATTTCGGTCGAGTACAAGTAACGAGATGTTCATGACTAAATATTGAAGTGCGAGAATAATAGCTGTAGTAGTTAGGTATTGTGCAAGCACAGCATGCTATTTGTTCATTACAAGAGCGTAATAAATGCACACGAGATCCTACTATTTATATAATATACCTAAACTATCATCAAGCGTGCCCGTGGAAAAGCTTTGCGAGACACTGAAGAATGATATTGTACTAAAATTTACATATAAAACGTTTATATAAATAGATGCACCGTGTCATGCTACAGAAATATACGATACTTATATAGAACGTGTGTAGGATTTACTTTACAAGTTCAAAGGAAGCATTATTAGGTTAACGTGAAGATTTCCAGTTTCTCCGAAGAATAGGACGTTACAATGCGTTACAATGGTCGGTGAATTTAATGCAATGATTTATATTCTTCCAATACCTGCAGAGAAAGTGAGTGCAATGTACAAAATTTGCGAACTGGCGTTTCAAGGAATGCGTGAAAAGAATATCGATTACTCGTATTTTATTCGTCGCAACGAGCGGACAATAAGTTCGTACTTAACGTCAAGTGTCACCGGAATTTAAGGGAATGTATTGTTACACAGAATTATGCAATTTGATACTATCAAAATTGTTATTTTATTTATTGTTGCAACTAAACATATATCGTTACGACATTTTTATAACTTTAACAATATCGTTTGTCATAATATTAAAATATTGAGAAACATTAAAAAGTATGGAAGATATTGAAATTTTGCTTTCATGTAATTGTACCTCTGGTGTTTTATAGGAATTCGTCAATTTATAATCCACATTTAACAGGCTTATATCTTTGGATCTAATAAGCGATTCTCATATCCAATTATATCATGTTAGAATCCTACTTTTACTCATAAAAGTACTTGTACGTAGAATATATTTTCATCGTTATGCTCTAAACATTCCAATTCCTTTAAATTCCAAAATATTATGGAATCTAGATGGAAGGAGAAGTAACAATGGAGAAATTTTTAGCAAATCGTTTGAATTTCTCTTAATCAACGCGCCGTTGAGAAGTAAAATTCCATCGTGTGAATGGACTGGCAAAGAATAACCAATGAAATGTTGACTTAACGCAACGTTGGCGCTTAATGGATTAAACGACACGGCTAATCACGAATCGAACCTTTGCGCCGATTTTTGATATGACAGGATCTCGTGCAGAACGTTTCAACTAGCTGTGCTTGCGAGTTCCATTGCACAAGATAAATCATCGAAGCGTAATCTTCCGAAGGAACCATGGCAGCTTAACATTCCACCAGCTTGCATAACGAGAGTAGCGTTCACCGGCGACGACGTGTGTGCATTTGCACGTGAACCTCGGTCGAGCATGCACAATCGTCCATTCGCCGTGTATCCTGCGTGAAGTATAGCAATCACCGGCGAGATAACGCCTGTATCCTTGACTCTAGTCGTACACCTACCGATGCGTGTGTCATGCTGTGTGTGAATGCCACTAGATTCGCTTGCACGCATCGAGATAGAATAGTTTTATTACAGCCGTAATAGAATAACGCTCTCTAACGATTAACGCGTTGACTGTCACGGTGATTATCGATGACCCACGTGACTAAATTTTTTAGAATAATCAAAGTAAGATGAGTTTCGTCGGCTAAATAAAAATTCATGACTTGGATAACGTTGTCAGAAGAAAAGTGAAATATTATGCGATACGATGTTTTGCAAAAATTAACTGTTATGGCATAGTATGTTCCAATCGATCGCAACAGCAAGGGCAAGATATATAAAATCCGCATGGCAGTCAATGTCTTAACGAAGTTGTCATCTTAAGAAAAGTTGTAAGAGTGCGTTGAACGTTATTAAATATGACGGGGCAACGTTGATGAAATCAAGCGGAGAAATGTCACGGTTTGCGTGCGAGGAAGAGGTGTTCTTGGCAGCGCAACTGTCCACGCTCGAGGCGCGTGAAGGTTAATGTTAACGGGTTCGTGATAATGACTTTTTGAGTGATCGTCGAGTGGTCGGGTTGGATACCTTGCTTCGATCGGTAGTGCCGCCGGATGTGGTTAAGTGTGTCGTCGTGGGGTAGGTTGTGATCCGCATGTCAGAAAATTTTTATGGAATCGGTAATTCAGGGAGTTGGCGAAAGAGTGGTGCGAGTATCTTTTTTATATATGTGATACCGTGGTAAATATATAAATAGAAATGTACTCATATGAAATTCAATTTATTTTAGTTCTTTGTTGCTTGAAATAAAAATTTGCATATCGTTTTAGACATATTTACAGTGCTTCAAGATATTAGAAATTAGAATATGGAGAAACAAATAGAAATAAAATTGTTCATAAGACAACTATTATATATAGTTGAATTTGTGAGTAAGTTCTACGAAGAATTCGAATATTTTGAAAATTAATTGTTTCGATAATTATGATAACTTTCGCTGATACTTTTCGTGTATAAATGTTCCATTACTATTTAAACGAAAGATCATACAGGGCAGCGAGATGATTTATGATTGCAGAATTTAACAATAGGCGTTACTGTCTTGGTGAAAGTCTATTGTAATAGGGATGATTGCAAATACCTGAATTAACAATTTCAACCGGTGTAATTTGCACATCATTAACACGGTATTGCTAAAAAAATGCTCACCCGTTAACAATATATAATCATCGTACTGTAAAATATAATTAAATAGTTACAAAATATAATATTTTAAGACAAAATTACAGGACTAACTTAATATTATAGAATATTATTATATAGAACCTTATAGTATCTACAGTTACTTTCGAAAGACATACTCAACTTTGAAATTAAGTAAAACATTGTTAAACATGCTATAGGAACATTGATGAAATCACCGGACAAAATGTCACGGTTTGTATATAAAGGGTGTTGTTTCAGAAAGTATATGACGGATCGCGTTGAGGACGTAACAAAGGTTGATGTTGGCGAATTCATGACATTTACGCCTGTGATGTAATTTGGAGTTATTTAAAGTAAATGTAATTTATGAAACAGACAACTATTCTTAGGCAGATTGTCATTGAGATTTTTCATTTTATAAATTACATAAGTTATATTATAGTATATATACCGAGAGTATAAAATCTGACGATGCATAAGTGTTTCGTAAGTTTTGAAAATCTTGAAATGAGATTACGCATTCTTAAAACATCAGGAAGTTATAAATATTAATGTTATACCTGATGTTCGTAAATGCATCTCGATTATAAGAAGTGGTATTAAATATCATTCTTTTAAATGCATCTGATTTCAATTATTATCCGTTTTCATAAATATGCACGAGCTTTTTTTTACTTAATAATTAATTAATAATTAAATAATATTAATAAGAAATTGTGCAAGAAACATTGAAGATTATATTTCTCTATTTAATTTAGTGTATTCCGAGTAAATGGCAATAATGAATAAATAAATATATTTACTAAATAATAAAATATGTACAATATTTCTATTTACTCATTATTCATTGCAGAATATTTTATTCGTTTACTACTAAAACCGCTACGGGTCAACGATCTCTGGTTAAAAGCTTACAGAACGAGATAGCACACGAAATTGTGTGCGTCTAAGGTATACGTACGATCAAGTTTAAATTCCACCGAGTTCACCGTGAATGTTACTCTTACCAAACATAGCGTTTAGGTACAGTACAATGCATCTCGAAAGTACCTCAACCGTACCGGCGATACTTTACACCAAGTGACCACACGAACGAGCTAAGCCGCTCGTAAAAATAATTCACGTTCGAACTTCGTCTTTCGAGCACGTAAACAAAAGCATCGCGAACTCGAGTGATTTAAAGCCGATAACTCGCCTCTTAAATTTAACATTCCGAACATGAACGAACTTCTCGACGACGAGTACAACACATTACGTATTTCCACGAGCGATGTGACGTTCGTTTCGCCATAAACAATGAAAAAGCCAGGCTTCAGGAATACGAGTCTACCTATTCTGCCGTACAGGACTTCGCGTAAAAAGTGAAAGTGCCGCTTACCGGTGACCGTCTTATCAAATCTATTAGAAACGGCTATCCAAATGAAACACATGCACGTGTTCACGATAATTTAAAGAATGCTACTCACCAGCAGGAAAAGTACCGTGCTCGTGGCAGTCGCTTCGAACGATATTCCGCACGCCATTTCTCGCGATCGAACCACCAGGCTCCTCCTCTACCAGACCATCCTGAGACTTGTTAGCGAAGCATGCGGCCCTTGGCTTTGTCGAGCTTCTCTTTGATTAACCTCGAATCACTTTTCCACCACAAAAACCACCACGATGTTCGAACCGGCAATCTCCTCTCCCTTTCTTTATCTTTTTCTCCCTCAAGTCGGCACGTTCGAAACGTAAGGATCAACGATCGCGGATGATCGAAGCGCAATTTCAAGCTTTCAACGAGCGGCTCGTGATCTTTAGAAATCCCAGTCGATCATGGGGCACGATTTCAAGCAGATGGTGCGCCCCGACACGGATCGATCGAAACGGAACGCGATCGATCACTGTTTCTCTCTTGCCTGTTTCTTTCGCTAATCCGTGTATCCGACTCACGTTCTACAAATCGACCGTGGACAACGAGCAGTTCACGTATCAACGACGTTCGTTTGATCCTGATCTCCAAGTTGTACCGTGTTTCGATTGACCGTGATCAATCTTCATCGACGAAACGACGCGATTCGCAACGAGGACTAGACGACGCGGCCGTGAGAGCCCAGTCGTTTCGATGATGATCACGCAAGCTTGTCTCGTGCTCGTTAAAAGGTGACGATTGCACGGTCCTAACCGTAGCACAGGGCTCGGGCAACTGACAGCGGGTCAGAGCCGCGGCACACGGCGCCACGCCGCTCTCACAGCTGATCCGAGAGAACCGATCGCCTCTACTCGCCTCTCTACCCTCTCTCTAACACGCGATTCTCAACCTCTGCCACCGTGTGCTCCCTACGATTTACCTCGGCTAACCGGAACGTCATGAGAGCTTGACGAATCGCGCGCCCCCCTCCCCTCTAG